CAAAAGGATGGGTCCTGTTTTTGTATCCATTCTGTAAGCCTATGTCTTTTTTTATAGGTGTACTAAGTCCATTGATATTAAGGGATTTTTAGATTTAGTTGTTTAATTATTATGTTGTGAGGGGACTTTTTGGGGGGTCTAGTCTGTTTGGTGTTCTATAGGCTTCTTGTATCTTCATAGGCATTTCCTTCTTTAAGTTGGGCAAATTTTCTTCTATGATCTTGTTGAATGTATTTCCTGTGCCTTTGAGTTGGTTTGCATTCTGTTGGTTATACATGCATCTGAAGTTCCTGATCAATTCCACAGATTTTCTATATCTAGCATTCCCTCTGTTTGTGTCTTCTTCATTTTTTTCTATTTCTCTTTTCAGGTGTTGGACTGTTTCCTTCATTTGTTTCATTGCTTTTTCATGTTTTTCTTTCAGTGCTTTATTGTTTTCTTCTAGGACTTTATTGTTTTCTTCTACTTTATTTGTCCTTTCCTCTAGTTTTTTATAGTGCTCTTCCCATTTTTTTTGTCTTTTCCTCTATACAAGCCTCTACTTTCTTCATGATGTTATTCATTATGCTGTTTTCTTTGCTTCTTCCAATTTTTGATGTTCAGGTCAAGGTGTTGGAGGAGGGCTAGGTTCTGGTGATGCTGTATTGCTCTTCATTTTGTTGTATGAATTTCTGCCTTGATGTCCGCCCATCTCCTTATGGTTTGTTCTTGGTCTTATCAGCATACTTGGTTCAGACAGCTCTGACAGATTCAGGAAGTCTCTCTCTTGTCTAGATGGGAGCTCTCTTGTCCAAATGGGAAATCCAGGGCAGGATGGGAGCTCTTATACAGACAGGAAGTCCGGGGCAGGATGGAGCTCTTGTCCAGCAGGGAAGTCCAGGGCAGGAGAGGGGCTCTGGTCCAGAAGGGAAGTCCGGGGCAGGATGGGAGCTGGGGCCTGGTCTCTAAGTCTCAGGAAATGGCTGGGATCTCAGGCAGATGGGTGTGGAGGTAGGGCGTGGAAATTGCAGGGTCTGCCAGGGATCTTGGAGAAGGGGGACCCTTCTGATTGGGCTAGAAGTGAACCTGTCCAATGGCCAGAACTTGGGGCCTAGTTGTGCAGACTTCTGTGGAGTAGCTGGTACGCAGTGATGGGGTCTGGGCTGAGCCAGGGAAACTCACCTCTGGTCCAGAAGGGAAGTCCAGGTCAATATGGGAGCTGGGGACAGGTCTCTAAGTCTCAGAAAGTGGCTGTGGTCTCTGCCAGATGGGCATGGGGGCATGAGTTGGAGTTTAAGAGTCTGCCAGGGGTCTCTGGTCCAGAAGGGAAGTCTGGGGGCCTGCTAGTGAAATTTCAAAGTACTTTTTATGCTTGATTAACCAGATCCATACATCATAGCTAATTGTATTTTTCTGCCTTTGAAACTACTCAAATTTCTCTTGAATTTTTCTTTAACTTCTTTGTTCTTTGTTTTTCTTTAGGTTTTTTTATTTTTATTTTATTTTTTATTTTTTTATATATTTATTTTCCCCCTCTCGCCCACCCCTCCCCCCAGCCCACCCCCCATTCCCACCTCCTCCAGATCAAGGTCTCCCCCGAGGACCGGGGTGGACCTGGTAG